TTTTAATGCTTTGTATACATTTTTCCTAATCTTTCTACACTGAGATAAATGAGGTGGTAGCACTTTAGTAAAAGAACTTTTAATTCCGATTTGTGACTGTATCATTACCTACGAAATAAAAAAGTATGAGGTACAGTTATTTGAAAGTTTCTTGCTTAACGCACAACTTTTATCTTTTCAAGACAGCTTGAGGTATCAGTTCTGATTAAATTTTTATTACATCTCGTCCTCTTTATCCTCACCCTCTTATATTTACCTGGAAGACCTCTTGGTCCAGGGTAACCTTTCGGTCCTCTGCCTGGAAATCCTCTTTCTCCTCTTTCTCCTGGTTCACCTAAAGCAGAGTCACGAAACATTAGTTACAGCCTGCTTGGAGTATGACTTGCAGTAAGTTCCCTCTCAGTTAATAAGCAGAGAGTTCAGGTGGCTGTATATATTCTTAGCATCTTTGAATGATGTCCTGACATATGTCCTTGTAAGATGTTTGGGATTTGGTTGGGGTTTTTTTTCCCCCCATTTGAGTTATACTTAGAAGTAGACATGTTGGAGGGGAAAAAAAAAAAAAAAAACAAAACCAAAAAAACCAAAACACGCCCCACCACCTGGAGCTGAAGAGCAAGTATGACATGAAATACGCCCTTGCCTATGTAGCAGAAACAAACCACACTCATGGAACTGCAGAGGCTCTTGTGGCGTACAGCCTGAGGTTACTGGCCAAGGGCTTTTGCAAGGCCACACAACCTCAGCTACGAAGTACAAATTCTCAAGTGCTGGTCCTTGAGACAGCTAGCGCAGAGGAGCAGTGAGACGCTGGCTTGCACAGATTACAGTATTCTGTTGACAGTCACGTAAGATGTTCATAAAAGTAAAACAAAGAACTTTGTTCTCGTATACTGGTGTTATGGAGACTTTTCTTTGGTAAGCACTCAGCTTTTCTTCAAACTCCTATGTTGCTCCAAACACAAAGGATCTTAGTAAAAGGAAGCTTTTTTTGTTGGTTTGGTTGTAAAGTTTGAATTCTGTTCACTGTATATGTTCCATAAAAGTACATATATTTACCACTTGTAAATACCCTATGTAAACTCTGGATTTTTTTTTTTTTTTTTGCTGCAAGTCAAAAGTCACAAGTATATGCCTAATAATATTTGAGTGAGCTTGATTTTATACTTCTGTACTTTCTTGTACTGCAGTGAGGGAGGTTGAATAGACTGTTAGGTTTGTGGCTTGCCTAGAAATGGCACAGCAGAAAACGAGGAAGCTATGTAAAGGAATGCAAGAGTCAGTACAAAAGTCCAAGTCTTAATAAAAGATGCACACAGGGTACTAGAAGAGGAATCTTATCTCTACACCTCAGACTGCCCCGCCAACATGGAGTTTGAGCCCTGTCTTTGTACATACAGCTGCGGGCAGCACTGACATCAGGTTACCCATACATACTGCTGCTACTTCCAGCTCCCGAACACTTTGGAATAGCATTTACTGCTGCTTGCCCCCAACCTCTCCCGCTTCTTATTTCGGTTTCTGCCCTCCTTCACTACCCCAGATTGCTCATTAAAGTCACTGTAATCTCCGTCCTTGAGCCACCTCTTTTTGACTCTGTTGTTGATGCTGTTAAAATCACTGCATCTCCTACTATCTCATGGTAACACATTCTTGTGTTTCTGTCTCCTCTTTATCGTGACCTTCTAAACTATGCTCAACATCCTCCTCCTTTTACCTCTTCTCATGTCCTAGGTACCCTTTTCCTCTCACTCCGATCTCAGACAACTCCCATGGGGAAAGTCACTTCAGCTCTGTGACCTCTGTGGAACTCTGGGAACTACCAGGAACTGAGCGAAGCACTGCCATTTTTTCAGGTTGCCTGCCACGTACCACCGTGCTAGCTCTTGCACATGAGAGCATTCACCCCTTCTCTTGTATCTGTAATTGTATTTCAAGGTTTATTGTAAGGTAACTTGGAATTTGATCACAATTACGATAGTAAACAAAACATCTTGCTTGTCTGGGGGTGTTTTTTATGCTGAGTGCAGCGTGCTGTGTGCTGAATCAAATCAGATCACCTTTGTATCTCTATTTTTTGTTGCCTCTGCGAATACGGATGACATTAAATGAAAACAGTAACAGAGCTCCAGCACCAATGCTGTTAAGATTTGCTTTGTTTGTATTCTATTCCTTCTCTCAAGAGTTTTTCCCAATTTTACTTTCAAATAAAGCTTGGGACAAAAGTAAATGCTCTAATCCAACAACAGACCAGCTTTGTGCAGAAATACAATTTTTAAATAAAACCTTCCTTCAAGAAAACAAATTAAGATCACTGCTGAATAGAAACTAATACAGGCATAGTGGTCATAAGACTTTGCAGAAAATTCTACTGTGTAATCCTTTGGAGTAGTATAAAACCTCTCAGTCAGGAACAAAAGAGATTAACTCAGATCAAAGATTTTTTGTAAAGTGTAAGGTAAGTCAATTTTGTTATGGATTTGTCCTTTCCAAAGAAGCAAGCTTGTGCTACATGGTGCAATGATGTTAAATGTCTCAAGTATTATACCCAAATAAGGGACAGGTTGTTATTGGTCACTTGTAATGTGAGAAACTGGATAAACCCAGAAAAGTAGGCTAGGGAGTAGCAAATGATTCTGTTTATGTTAGCTTTTGGGACCACAAATCTTGCAGAAGTGAGGTTCACAACCAGACTGAGTGAAGGAAAGAGAGAATCGCTGCTGGAACTATTCAGCATAGGAAAAACACAAACCTCAAAAGTCCATGAGAAGGAGAATTAATATTGGGGAACTGACTCAGCTGCTTACTTCTAGCTCAAGGCAGATGCCTGTCCTTTCTCATATTGTAAAAGCGATTTGATGACAAAAAATGGATTTATAAACAAGTCTTGCTGCGGCTAGGCCAATGAGCCCTTTAATCACCGGGGCAACTGAGGCAACAGTTATAGGAAACAGCTTAGGTTCCTAATTCAGGATCTTTTGGGACTTCACATGTGTACAATGTACATCCACAACCTGTAATCTAAAGGAAAAAACAAAACCAAACCAAAAACACACCTACAAAACAAACCTGGAGTATTCAACAAATGCAAGCCAGTTACAGAATTTCTTACCTTTAGGCCCTTTACGACCGATCTCACCAGGCGGACCTTTAAGGCCAGGCAAGCCACGGGGTCCAAGCTGTCCTGGGAAGCCATTTTCGCCAGCAGGCCCTGGAGCACCTGGTGGCCCTGGTCGGCCAGGAAGACCTGGAGCACCAAATTCTGGCCTCCTAAGACTGGCTGCCAGCTGAGCTAGTTGTTCTGCAATGACAAGAGGGCAGAATTAAGCAGTAAGTGGACCTGAATGGAGAGATTCCCACCTTCACTCTCTTGCTACGGAAACTGACAGATTACAGGACAGCACCTTCCTTATGTACAACACAATTTACCAAAGATTCCCATGTTCACTGAAGAAGACGTGTACTCTCTTGCTACGGAAACTGACAGATTACAGGACAGCACCTTCCTTATGTACAACACAATTTACCAAGTTTGTTACATATAAGATATTCTCTTCGCACTACCAGTGGCAAACTGCATAGCCACACTGTGAAGCTGGTTCTTCTGAACCCTGCATCTTAAAAACTTAATGTTTGCAAGCTGAAATGACTCAAATGTATATGGTTTATTTAGACATGTCCTTATAATTTTCTGTACCATTTACATTTCAACCATCTATTAAGAAAACTTAATCATGCAATTGCTGTTTCTTAAAAAAGCAAATATCTCTCTTCACTGCTACTTGTTAATCCTGCCAACATCCATCTTTGCAAGAAGGAACAGCTGAAAAGCATGAAGGCAGTCATCTATGTTGGTCTGGTAAGTGCAGGTTGCCTTTTTCAGAGGAAAGAAACCTGCAAACTTGTACTCATGAGCTCAAGTTTGGTAGATAATTGAACATTTTATGTTGATCTTTCATTAAGGTAAATCAGCAGGAGCTTTGCTCTTCATTAGGCATAGGATCAGCTTGCCATTCCTTGGAATGGTCTAAACTAGCTATTCCCTTTTCCTTCTCCCCTTTTCAGGCCACTGCTGTAACAGCATGAGAGCAGTCCTCTCTTTCCTTAATGTTTCTGTTCTAGACTTCAAATCCATCTTCCAAGCTTGTCTTAGAAGTAACTTTCTCTGGATACAGCCACACACAACTCCATATGACATTATTGCTATAAAGTCTGCATGACTTGGTAAGACTAATTATTTTGTGTCCACAACCAAGAAATATTAAGAAGACTGGAGTGAGAGGGACAGTAGGATCTGAAATAAAATAGGAACTATAGCCAGCAGATACATGAGGAAGACTGGAGATAGCACTCTGAGGGCAAAGCCTACTGAGGAGCTGAACTTCAGTTACGGTTGTCTTTTAGCTGACAAGGTTCCAGGGACACACTTGGATTGATTTTTTTATTTTATTTTTTTTTAAAAAAAACATGACAGCACTGACAATTATAGGGGCTCTCAAGAGAGATGCAATGAAAAGAATCTAGATTTTTCCCATACCCTTCTCTTCACTGCTAATTCTGATGGTTATGAATAAATTCAAGCATCATATCTGATTTCACTATAATCCTCCACAATATTACTGTGTCTTTCAAGAGACCACTTTAAAAGGCCTTTTTATCCTACTTATAGAAAGTTTTAAAAACAAAAAATACCCTGTTGGGCAGTATCAAGAACAGTGTTGACTACTGAGAATTTTTAGATTAAAACATGACCAGCAATTTCATTCTGGTAAACTTTTAAAATTACAAAGGCGTAAAATCCCAAAGGACATCTTCAACAGCAAGTACTGAAAAGTCACTTTTGCGGTTACAGGGCAGCCTAAATTTTTAAACTCAGTAAATCCTGTGCACTCAACTGTATTAGAAAACCTCCAGACTTCTGTATGTGTCAAGAAGAACTAAGCAAATATAATTAGGGGTTTGAACATATGCCTATTGCTTTCATTTTATGGTATGTTATCTACAGAAAGCCTCTCTTTGCACTCTTTTTTTTTTTTTACCTATTTTGCACATTGTTTGCTGTAATCTAATGGCATATGAGTACAAATGGCAAAACAAACTTTCAGTGAGGCTGTGTACTTTTATATATGTAAACATAGCAAGTGATTTGTACACAAAATGTATGTCTATCATAAAAAACACTCCACTCTATGGCCTGGTTACTACAGTAATAATGTGGAATCAATAGGTAGTTCAACGAGGCTGCAAAGTACGTATAAATAAGGGGCGTCTTTCCCATATTCCCTCATATTGTGTCCACATTCATATGTGGGAAGATTTTCTGCCAGGTCCCCTGCTGAGGCCATGCTATTTGTTCTGGATAAGAGTGGGAAAATCTTGGTTGCCTCCACAGCAGTAGATTATTCTGATTTAAATGCACAAGACATATCAAATACTTTTTAGCATATTTACCTTGCATGACTCGCATGCAAACCTGCTTAATGTGCTGATCGGTTGGTTCTTTTCCCTAGGATTAAAAGAATAATAGTTTAAAAAAAAAATCAAATAATGAATACTCTGACCTTTTTGGTGCCCCACATTGGGCACTGAAAAGGACTGCTTTGGTTTAACCCCTGGTAGGCAGCTCAGCACCACACAGATCCTCGCTCATGCATCCCCAGTGAGATGGGGAAGAGAATTGGAAGGGTAAAAGTGAGAAAACTTGTGGGTTGAGATAAAAACAGTTTAATAAATGAAAAGAAATAATAATAACAATAACAACGATAAGAATAATAACAATAAATTGTAAGGAAAAGGGGAGAGGGAATAACAGAGAGAAAAATAAAACCCAGGACAGACAAGTGTTGCAAATGAAAACAAATGCTTACCACCAATTGACCAATGCACCGCCAGTCCCCAAGCAGCAGCCCCCCCACCAACCTCCCCCCTGGTTTTATTGCTGAGCATAACACCATACGGTGTGGGATATCCCTGGGGTGACTATTGTAAGGAAAAGGGGAGAGGGAATAACAGAGAGAAAAATAAAACCCAGGACAGACAAGTGTTGCAAATGAAAACAAATGCTTACCACCAATTGACCAATGCACCGCCAGTCCCCAAGCAGCAGCCCCCCCACCAACCTCCCCCCTGGTTTTATTGCTGAGCATAACACCATACGGTGTGGGATATCCCTGGGGTGACTGGGGTCAGCTGTCCTGGCTGTGTCCCCTCCCAACTCCTTGTGCCCCCCCAGCCTCCTCGCTGGTGGGGTGGGGTGAGAGGCAGAAAAGGCCTTGGCTCTGGGTAAGCCCGGCTCAGCAATAACTAAAACATCCCAGTGTTATCAACACTGTTTTCAGCACAAATCCAAAACAGAAGCCCCATACCAGCTACTGTGAAGAAATTTAACTCTATCCCAGCCAAAATCAGTACACCAATCAATAAAAGGTGTTCCAGTCCCTGCAAATGCAGCTATTCCAGCTGAAGTCAATTTGACTATCAAGATAGATGCTATGTGTGACACAGCCATGTATCAAACATGGTTTCATGCGCACTACAAGAGTGGGGCAGGCATTAAAAAAAAAAGGAACTGAACTAAAAGCTGAGGGCTCAAGGACCTAGCTGTATACAACTCTAAGATTTCTCTGGTGTACAAATGTGTCTGTTGTGAGGTACAGTGTATTTCCAGCTCTACCGTGACAGCTGAGTTTTGCATGCGTATGCATCTCCTGATGCAAAAAAGGAGCGGTGAGAGTGACAGCTAAGTGTTCAAAAGATGCCAGTTCCATGAAACCAGTACTTACAGCTGGACCCTGGCTGCCAGGCAGACCCGGGGCACCCTGTTCACCCTGCAAGCCTCGTGGTCCAGGTGAGCCTCGTGGCCCTTCCATGCCAGGCAGTCCCCGACTTCCCTCAGGCCCACGGGAACCAGGATCTCCAGGATTACCAACCTGACAATGAAAGAGAGGAATTTCAATGGACTGTGTTGTTAGATTCGTTCTGACATATCAAAATGGTGACAAGAGCTATTCGCAAATGCAAAGCAATGAATGCTGGGATGTAGAGTTGCTCAACAGCTTCTTTTTAAATAAGCGACTGGAGTCAGTGGTTATGTGATTTATACTTAAAAAGAGGTCTGTACTCCTCACTTAAAGGGAAGAAGTGGAAAAAAAGATATTCTGGCAAAAGAGGCAAATCGGCAACCCTAGTGACACGCACAAGACATTGGGTTTTTTGTCAAGGAACAGATCTCCTATACTTGGTTTCTACTTCTGCCCTTGTGTATGTCACATGCAACTTCTCTGGACATTAAGTGCTCCTTAAGTTAGAAAAATTCCAGCTCCCTGCTTACTCTAAGTGCCTTTCATGCCCTTTCATAGAGAGTACTACAGTATGAGCCTGTATTGCCCCAGGCTGCTTGGGAACACACATTTTTCCTTTGCTTACATCTGTCAGAGCCAGAGCTCACTGCACACAGGGTCTAGTGCCTACCCTTGAGTTTGCTGGCACAGGGGAGGGAACATCTTCACACAAACCGATGCTGACAAGCTGCCTGAACAGATGCAATGCCAGCTTATTTCACACAGGGAAGGGGTAGAATGAACTATTTTAGTGGTATAAGCATTCTGACCCGTGGGGAATGAAAAGATTGACATGGCTACATCAATATGCCTACTGAAGTATATTTAGTAAATAAAGCTATAGCTACTGCTGCAGCAAATTTTCTAAAAGTGATTAAATATCATGCAGAGTGAGAGCTGTGCCAACAGGTACCTCTGAGTTACTTTCAATGCAAGTTATTTTACTACTGTTAATCAATAGAAGTACTAATAAAGGAAGAGAAGACCCAAAAGCCAAACAAACCCCAAAAAACCCAACAAAACTCAAAACAAAAAAAGCAGAAAAAAAAATCCTACATACTTACACCTTCCCAAATCTACTGAGGAAAAAATAAAAAGAACGATGCCCACTGAAAGAGATGCTCAAGAACAAATTACTCAGCTGTGGTATCGATTAAGTCCACAAGATGGACCCATTTCAGTTCCATCTATGCTGCATCTCAGACAGCTAATTGCTGTCTCTGGCAGAAGGAAAACCAAAGAGCATGCTTCAGTAGATATATTAAGACAACGTCAAAATTCCCTTCGTGGACTATACAACCAGGAAGCCATCATTCCTTTCTTACCCAGTGTGGTGATTTATCAGGTTCCCTGATGGATTTCTTATCCCTGTGTATGTACTCACTAGGATGACAAGCACTCTAGGGTCTCATCAAAAGAGGATTTAAAAAAAATCTAGGGGGATAAAACTATGGATTTCGCCTCTACACTATCTCTTCCTCATGTAAGTCTTGTACGATCTTAATCAGCAGTAACCACTCTCTAGCTTGCATTTACATAGCCCCAAAGTCACACAGGCCACTGAGAACACACAGCCAGCCCCAGCTCCCTGAGGGCAGAACTGTTGATATGTTTGTATCACAGCCCAAACTGTCAGCTGCTGTAACAATCCCACTCTTCAGTGATCCTGAAATAAAAGAATGCGTTCAGCTCTCAAATTCTTTTTGTTATGTGACATAAAGCTTCTGCTCACCTTCCCCATCAAAGCTATCATTTTGTTATTTCTTAAAAAAACAAACCAGAAAAAAGGAATCTGGGCCATAAGTACTTCTGCTTTCACAGACATCAGAGTCCTGCTGCCAACTTTTTCACAGTGTAAAGATTACAGGCTGCACACAGCCACAGCACTAAGCCTCCTTTCTATACAACACCTACTGTACAAAGAGTGCATTCATCTCCTTAAAAAATAAAAAAATTGGCCAGAAAACTGCTGCTGAATGATGCTTCTCTTTTGTGGAGTTTAGAATTCAGGATGTTAATTCCTTTCCAAAGCTAATTCATTTTAATATTAACTGTATTCAAAATGCTGTTGGAACTCATTCAATTTAACTACGATAAAGAGCTCAGCTCATTATTTGTATTTTCTTTCTTAAATCAGGAAACCATCTATCTGATCTACTAGATCTCTTTATTTCTGTAATGGTGCTATTCATTATACTTACAGCTCCCTTTGCTCCTGGTAATCCCATATCACCCTAAGCAAAAACAAGACAAACTATATTAGAAGAGAGTATCCATTATCATAGGCATTACAAATGCAGTAAACTTGATAAGATTTTTTTCACTATTAAAAAAACCTCACATATTTAGTTGTTTTATGCACAATGGCACCTCAAATGAATTACAATTCCTTTGCAAATAAAACTGAAATTTCAGATTTTCTTTTTTTATTTAAAAATTCTTTTATAAAAAAAATTTCTGAAAGGTACAAGCAAGAAAGCATGTTTACTATAATTGGTTTTGTATTGCTTATCTTAGAATTAGACACATAGCTCTAAGCTCTCAAACCACAGTTACAGCACAGGACAATCTTAGCAGATTGCTTGGAAATCTTTAGAGGAGGCATTTTTCGATCAGGATTTTCTAGTTTGACAGAATTACAGATATTTTACAGTGTGGTGTTAGCCCTGACAAAACAGCAACAGAAACCAGGCAGGTGTCTACTCAGCGTGCTGTGAAGAAGCTAAACCTCTAGAAGTTCCTGTTCCTGGCTTGAACAACCCTGAGATCCCTCTATCGCTTGACTGAGAATAAGTAGTCTAACTAGTCAGAAGTTTTTAGTTTTCTCTTTGAATTGGAAGAAAAAATGTTTCAAAATCTTGTCATCACCTGTGAAATAGATTAACACATCTTTGATGTTTTCATATTATTCTTGGGGACATTTCTGAAAATTGTATTTTCCCAGTTCCTAAATATCATTGCTGAAATAATGGGTTTCTAAAGGTCAGGAAGGCCACTTTGTCTGTTAATGACTATGCCATAAGTGAAGTAGAAATAACAACTGTTACCCATTTAAAAACAGACTAACTGGCAGCACACTTCAATAACCCACAGTATTGCTTCCTGGAAATCTGTATAGTGACGGTAAAGCTGCATTACTGGACATCTAGCTTACTAGGGCTGTTAATTAACTTTAAAAGCCTTTCAGAATTGCAGAGCATAGGAAAAAAGTGCTCATTTCCAGCGCACAACCTGGCTATCGTTTTTAAAATAGGGAGCAGTTTACTTCCTTTTGAAAGAGCAAGTTCTGGCTTTGCTGGATGGGGCCCCATCGGAGCCACTGCATTAGTGCATTTCTCTTTCTGTAGGAAAACAAATCCCCTTTACCCAAGGGCACATGACCCAGGCATTACCCATTGTGAATTCACAACATGCCACGTTCCTGCAGTATATACACCTTCCTCCAGCAATATTACATTGCCACAGCCCCTTCCCAGACCATTCTGCCTCTCCCTAACAGCCAGTTGCTACATCTTATTTCTAAAGACAAAGGCAATACAAAAATATTTCTTAAGTCTGAGTTATTACAAGTATTTATTATCTGTGCTCCTGTTCCACCTGAATTAAACTACCTCCTCATCCTCACTAACTCAAACACCAAGAATTTATGTGTGTGTGCAAAAATATATACGTATTTATATATAAATGCTTGGTGTATATCTACATATGTATCTATCTATCTATCTAGTCACACACAGACACACACCCCTTCAAGGCAGCCTGTACTGTATTGCACAGCCCATAGAATATGTGTATTTCAGAGTGCTTTCAAACCAGCAGG